GTGAGAGGTGGAGTATAGAGTGGGGTGGTAGGTGAGTCAGAAGAAATGGGAGGGGTAGGAGATTCCGGAGGAGGGGAGGAGTCGGATGGTGTAGGAGGAGGGGTGAGGGGGTTTTTTGCCGTCCGGTATGGGGGAGGATCATCTGCCAGGTCTGGTTGAGTGGGGGAGTCAGAAAAAGAGAGGTTGGTGGTGGAAAAACCTTGGGTCAGCAGAAGTATTAGAGCAGTTTTGGTGGTGGAACAAAGAGAGGGCTGATTAGCAAGATTGGAAAAGCCTTGGACATATGGGATCTCCGACCATTTTCCTTGTCGCTCACATAAGTTGTAAAGGTCTCTAATTAGACCCGATTCAAAGGAGCCATTAGGCAGCCAGACGTTTTGATTGCTTAATTTATATTGGGGCCAAATTTGAGTAGACAAGCGAATTAGCCATTTGAGTTTTAAATCAAGACTCTCCAAATTCCTGAGTAAGCATCCCAAAGAAGAGTCATTGGGTATAGAGGAACCAGAGCCCATGACCACCAGGACAGGAGGTTATCAGAAGACCAGACGTCTCTGAGAGTTCTGATAAAACTCCTCTTTTTCTAAACCCGGTCTAGAAAGCTGAAATTCGGTCTCCCGCAAAGGTGTCCCTTACACGAGATAGGAATTTATGTGAACTACTTAGTTCATTTGAGTCCCGGACTCAACAGAGGCAAACCTGGTTTGCCAAAACTGAGGGACAGAGGACCTGGGCCCCAGCCTTGTCCCAGACGTTGTCCTTGTGGGTGGTCTGGAGTCTGGGGTCCCTGTTACCCTGAGGACTTCTCAGAAAGGGGAACTTACCCAAAAAGGTGTGGGTCGGAAGATCAGTAGGTCGGTGATGGCTGCAAAGATGACGACGAGGAGAATGGTCGCGGACGTCGGGTGGAGGTCGAATAGGGGCACCCTGGAATCTGGGTTTTGGGCCCCAGGCATTTAGCCCGCGGGCCTGGCAATCCCAGATCCCGCTTCTGACACCAATGAAAGGGGTCGCGCTTGCGCCTTCGGGCACCCCCTCCCAATCAGGTCACTCACGCACCGAGAGGTCCAGCAGGAGATCTTTATTGAAGGGAGTCAGGTGAGGCACAAAGGCCGGGAGGTGAAGAAAGGGAGGCGGGATACTAAGGGAAGGAGTGTTGGCTCATTTATAGGGTCTTGGGTGGGAGTTTTGCAATTCTAGGGGGATTAGCTGTTTTTTAACCTATTGCAGGCCACATTGCCTTATAAGGTCTTAGTCCTGCAGGAGTCCCTTATCAGATGTTGGCGTCATTTCTGGAAAGAATTCAACTCGGGGAGGAAAATGAAACTTAAATTGGGGAAACAAAACTTAAGTTAGGAAGAACCTGGAAGTCAGGTATAAAATGGAGGAGTTTAAAGTAACATGTACAATTTCCTAACACTTCTTAATAACTATGCAACTGAAAATTGGTTGATAACCATGAACTGGGAGATTTTAGCAAAAGCAATTCTAGAGGCAGGGGAGTATCTGCAATTTAAAACTTAGTGGCGGGAAGAAGCTGAACAAATGGCTTGTGTTAATGTGCAGCAGCGTAATCCACCAGATCCTAAGTAGATCAATTAGCAGGGCAAGGTGCGGCAGCCTGCACTAGCAGTTCAAGCATGTCTTGATGTTGCTGTAGTTCAAATTCACTCATGCTATATGCAAACATAAAAGAGAGTTAAACCCCCTGGACAGAGTGCCCAGTCATTCACTAAAATCATACAATCCTCTGGGAAACCGTATACTGATTTTTTTATCCTGACTTGGAACAGCTATTACTAGAGCTATTGCACTGTAAGACCTAAATTTTAAGCCCATGTTAAATGACAAAGGGCCTAGGAGACAGTGTTCTAACCCCCTCCCATTGTAGTCATAGTTCTGACCTTTGTTCTAACCCTGGCCTAGGAATGTAAGGCAATCTGGTACTGTTTGAAGTCCGGATCCAAATTAATGTGTAAGTTAGTGGCTCTAGACCTAGAGACCCCAAGTTAATTGTCAAGCTGTTTGCTCATCCGGAATGTCTTGGTAACCTTTGAAACATCCTATAGGTGGTATCTGTTACTCATCAATATGTGACTGCCAAGTACAGGGCTGCTGACCACCAGCTCAAATCAGCAGACCTTTGTCCTCTGCCTGCAAGCCTAAAATGTTAACCCCCCTTTTTGACCCCCTATAAAAAGGACCTCAGCCCATGAGCTGGCACCTCTCTGAGCCAGCTACTTGGTTCTGAGAGTGCTATCTGGCCAGACTAATAAAGGTCTATTTACCATCTACCCTGGTGTGTTCCTTCCTGGGTTTCTCATTCCTCTGTCAAGCTCCTGGAGCCTCGTTGGCCTATAGGACCCAACATCGTGGAGGCCTTTTTGGCTGTTCACACTCCGTGGAGTGGAAGTGAGACTTTGTGTCTTACAGCACAACCAGATGTTCAAGAGCTTTTATTACAGGCTCTATCTTATGAAAATGCTAATATAGAATTCCAAAAGGCTCTGGGTCCCTTAAGGGTGCAGAAAGAACTATTGAAGGAGTGTATTAAGGCTTGTCATAATGTTGGCTCCCCTACATATCATGCTAATCTTTTAGCTACTGCCTTTAAAATGGTTTAAAAAGACTCCTGTGTTGGTAGAACAGTGGTCCCTTACAAGATAAAAACTAGAAGCACTGAAAATTTGGTGCAAGAACAATTATATGCAGGGCACATTGAACCTTCTACCAGTCCATGGAATTCTCCTGTGTTTGTGATTAAAAAGTGGAAAATGGAGAATGCTTACAGATCTTAGAAAAATCAATGAGATAATACAGCCTATGGGAGCTTTATAGTTGGGAGTACATACACCCACATTAATTCCCAAGGAATGGCCTCTTATTATTGTAGATCTTAAGGACTGCTTTTCATTATTCCTTTACAACCTCAAGATCAGGATAAATTTGCTTTTACTCTTCCCACTTATATTAATAGTCAGTCTGTTTGTAGGTATCAATGGAAAGTATTGCCACAAGGAATGTTAAATAGTCCCGCATTATGTCAGCATTTTGTAGATCAGCCTTTATCTTCCATTTGTAAATGATATCCTCAAAGTTTTATATTTCATTATATGGATGATATTCTCTTTTCTCATTCTAATCCTGAGACTTTACAACAAATATTTAGAGAAGGAATATGAGAATTAGAATATATAGACTTCAGGTAGTGCCAGAAAAAATACAAACAGAAGCACCTATGAAATATTTAGGTCAAACTATTGAACAAACTACTATCATACCCCAAAAAGCTGAACTCAGAAAAGATACCCTTGAGACGCTTAATGTTTATAAAAAATTTTTAGGAAATATTTATTGGCTTCATCCCACTTTGGGAAACCAACATATGCTTTGACTAATCTTTTCCAAATCTTAGAAGGACCCTTGACTAGTCCTAGAGTTCTTAAAAAGCTCAAAAAGAACTGGCTTGGATTGAGAAACATATGAAAAATGGCTCTCTCCAGAGAATTGAATCTTTGCAAGATCTTAAACTGTTAGTTTTCCACAATCCACATTCTCCCACCGGGCTAATCCAGTAGAATATTAATAGTATTAAATGGGTGTTTCTTTCACATAAGAGTATAAAAAAATTGGAAACATATTTAGAAAAGATCTGTGAATTAATTCATCAGGGTCGTTTATGTCTCCATCAATTAACAAGGTATGATCCACGAGAAATAGTTCCTTTTACTACAAAACAAATAAAGGAGTTGTTCCAACTTGATGATTCGCAAAGAGACATGGCTTATTTCCTTGGTAAAATTCATAACTCATATCACAAGGATAAATGCACTCAATTTTTGAAACCAACTCAGTGGATTTTGAGTAAAATTATAGTGAAACATCCTGTCCAAGTCCCTACTTTTTATATAGTTACTCATAAACAAGGATTGGCTGGTTATGCTAGTGATATTGATACCCAGGTTGTACAAACTCCCTATCATTCTGTCCAACAAGCTGAATTATTTGCTCTTATTTTATTATTAACACATCATAATGAGACTCTTAATATAGTCACAGATTCTCAGTATGCCAAATGTACTGCCCAAAATATTGAGACAGCTACTGTCTTTAAGAATGGTTCTACTCTACATCATTTATAAAATTACAACAATTGTTACATTTTAGAGAAAATCCTCTATTATCCATATTAGAACTCATACCAAATTACCTGGCCCCATGGCCAAAGGTAATGATACTATTGATCAGTTGTAGGTTCAGTTCTTAAAGCTCAACAACATCATGCTCTTCATCATTTTAATGCCCCTAGTCTATGCTCTCAATTTTCATTAACATGGCAACAGGCTAAAGATATTATTGGGCAATATTCTGCTTATGCACAAATAGTCACAACCTCATGTACACCTGGAGTTAACCCCAGAGACATGGCTTCCAATCAGATTTGACAAATAGATATCACTCATATTTCAAAATTTTACAAATTAAACTATGTACATCACACAATGGATACCTTTGTAGGCTTTACTTGGGCCACAGCCCCCAGCTTTGAAAGGGCTGATGAAGCTATTATTCATTTGATGGAAGCTGTGAGTATAATGGGAAAGCCAATGAATTTAAAAACTGATGATGGCCCCTCTCATATTTCTATTAAATTCAAAAAATTTTACAAACTTATGACATTGAATATACAACCAGTATACCCTATAACCCTCAAGGTCAAGCAATAATTGAACATGCTAATCATACTTTGAAAGGGATGTTGCAAAAGCAAAAAGAGGGAATGGTGCAGGGAACAGTATGACAGAGATTATCTCAAGCTTTATTTACACTTAATTTTTTAAATGAGGCACCTAATGGGAGTACAGCAGCAAGACACCATTGGCAAATCCAAGAATCTAAGGAGTTAGATCAACCTATTCATTATTAACTTTCACTCAAGAAAACCTGGCTACCAGTGCAGGTTTTTAAGTGGGGCTGAGGTTATGCTTTTATTTCCACAGGTGATGAGAATTTTTGGGTCCCGACTCAAGACATAAAGCTGAAAAATGAGCCAGAAATGAAGATGCTCTGGGAATCACAAAAGACATGGAACAGGGCTAGGGATTTAGCTCAGCGGTTCGGTGGCCTGCCTTTCAAGCAAGCACGAGGACCCGAGTTCAATCCCTGATACCAAAACAACAACAACAACAACAACAAAAAAACATGGAACGCATACATATTGGCCGTCCAGCTGTTTGTGCGACTCTTCTGTGAACTCAATGTATTCCATTGCCTACGTGGAGCCAAATTAAGAAGTTAACTGATGAAGGCCAATGAGTGGTTCAACAATCAGGACAACCAATTACATTGACCACTTTGTGCTTGGCTATGCTATCTTTAATTACTGCACAGGTTATTGGAACAAATTATACTTATTGGGCTTATATTCCAAATCCACCCTTAAGCAGGATTTTTACTTGGAGGGATTATACTATCCCCATGTATGTAAATGATTCCAACTGGATGCCAGGCCCCTATGATGATCGTGGCACTTTTAGGCCAGGGGAGGAAGGATAATTAAAAATTATACTGCTGTAGCAGAAGGTTTACCTATTTGTATTGGATATAAAGAATGTTGTCTTAAAATAGCCTCCTAGACATGGCTTTTGGTAGTTCAGAATGTCACCAATAATGATGCCCCTAAAAGATTGTTTCTTTTAAGTGTTGAAGGGTTTAAAGAAATTAAGTCAACCAAACTAGTTCTCCTGATGTTTCACCTTGCCATACACCCATTGTTAATCACCTGAGTGATTGGGTCCATTGGACTCAGTGCAGAGGTGAAACTGCTAGAGTATTACTTAATACTTCCTATGGAAGTGTCATTGATCATAGTCCTATGGACTCTGCTTGAGCAAAGGGTAATGGCTCTGATCTAAGATGGCACTGAGAGAATTGAATGATCACCACTAATACTGGAGGAAATAAGTCAATTGTGTGGTATGGAGGTGGGTTTGTTGCACCTAGCCTGCATATGTCCTTTCAACCTATACAACTCTTTGAAAGGTGGGAACTGCCCTTAAACCCTTAAGAGCATGGAAAGGTAGTATATGGAAAAAATCAAACTAATAATCATAGTCAATTATCTTTCATTATAAATGAAACCATGCATATTCAGACCTGTGTTTGTCTTCCTTTTATGTTTATGAGTGGGAGTCCTACCTGAAATGAAACATCAGGGTTGGTAACTTGTATAAATCATACTGTATTGTTTAACATGAGTTCTCGTAGTTTTTATATTCTGAAGACAAGAACAGGAGTATGGCTACATGTACACATGTTTAGACAATGGCAGGATTCTCCTTCTAGCTTGATGTTACAACAAATTCTTAAAGGGCTCCTGAGAAGGTCCAAGAGGATGATTGAATTGATTGTTGCAGCTGTTCTTGGGCTGACAGCTATTACAGCCATGGCAGTGACTGCTGGAGTTGCTCTCCATCAAGCTACCCAAACTACTGAGTTTTTCCAGGACTTGCATAAAGATTCAGAAATATTGTGGACATCAAAATGCCAGGTTGATAGTAAACTTTTTAGCCAACTTTCGAACTGCAACAAGATGATGTAATGATGGGCAATCAAATTGTTAGTTTACAGCCCCAGATTCAGTTGCACTGAGGTTGGAATGTATCCACCTTTTGTGTGACACCTATCCCTTATAATGAAACTATATTTCCTTGGGAAAAAGTTAAAAAACCTGCTTAGTCATGGGAATATATCTCACAAGATTTTGGAATTGCAAAACAAAATTAGGGAGACTTATAAAAAACAATTGGAGATATAAAAAACAATTGTTGTGACTGATCTTGCACAAGTGTAATAGATGGGATTCAAGATTTAAATCCTCTCTCATTTAAAGGCTATGATAGGATCCTCTGTAGGATTGTTATTAATATCAATATGTATTTGTATTGTTTTCTGTGTCATCTGGGAGAGACTCCAGCATCAGCAAGGAGTAGCCTCTGGACAAGCCGCTGCATTTTCTTTGATGCTGCATAAAATGAAGCAAAACCAAAAGGGGAAGTGTAGAGGAGAAGGTTACATTGGGACACAGATGGGAAGAACTGCAGTTGTGGTTCTGCACACGGAACCACCACTCAGAAGGTCAAGGCTGCCAACACTCTTGAGAATAATCCAATAACATTCTGGGAACAGTCTGTTTTGAGAAAGTATATGAATAACTAGAACCAGGTGTTCATAAAAAATATTTTCTAATGCTTTGCTGGAGATAATCTGTAAGGAACTAACTGTTTATTCTCGTGGAAGTATTGTGAATGTACCTAATAAAAACCGAGGTTGGTGAGAATTGGCTGCTGTTTGCCTGTGAGAGTTTCAGCCTTCTACTCCTTGGCAAAAACTACATTCCTGCTGTCTGGCTATCCTTTGTGTCCCTGTTGACAACATGACCCGTTTGTTATTCAGAAATGTGTTGTTCAATTTCCATGTGTTTATGAAATTCTCTCAGTTTCTTTTGCTATTGATCTCCAATTTCATTGCATTATAGTCTGGTAATATACAGGGAATAGCTTCAATTCCTTTGTACTTAAACATCTTCCATGAGGAAGTGTGTTGTCTACTTTGGGGAGCCATCCATGTGCAGCTGAAAAGAATGTGTATTCTGATTTTGTGGGGTGGAACACTATGTAAATATCTGTTAAGTTCATTTGTTCAAGAGCTTGATTGAGTTCTAGTATTTCATTGTGTTTTTTTTCTTTTTATTGAGGTTATTGGTACAATCTAGGTATACAATACAATTACATTCATCATTGGGATTCTGTACCTTTACATAATAGGTCTTGATTCTCATTTTTTCCCTTGTCCCTGCCCTCCCTTCACCTCCTCTTCCCCTCCCCATTTACAGACATTTTATTTCCATTTTTTCAGTTTTTCATATTTTTTTCCTCTCCCTTATTACCTTTCCCCCACCCTTCCCACTTTCCTTACGCCTTTAGCCCTTTACTTCCCATTTCACATTATTAATTATCTCATTAGGATCCTGTGTACTATTATAGTTTTTCACACCAAAGAAACTATTTGGTATTTCAGTTAAAGAAATCCCTGTATGAACATTAAAAATAGGGAATCCTAAAATAAAACTAAAAAGGAAAGTAAAAGAGAAAAGGCAATG